AGAGAGAAAACCTCTATAATGAACCTTTCATCTGGACCCTATAGATCTTTGAATTCTAATGAGCCACAGCCATAGCCATTCGTTTGCCATTAAATACAGTAAAGCCTCTCTAAGAGTGAAACTGCTTAAGAACAAATGAAAGAAAGATAATAAATTCGCTACCAAATATGAAGCTGTTGTATTTCCACTTATGATGGAAATCAAGGAAGAAAATCCAATCAAAAATTGTATTCACCTTCCCCTACAGTGCCCTAACAAAGTAAATGCACGCCCAAAACCACATATGGCAAATAATTCCCTCTGTCTTTTTGGAATTAATCGCTTTTTTTTCAGGCGCAGTGTGGATCAATTAACAAAGCAATTAACATTCGGATTTAATCCGTTTCAAAATTAATCACTCAGTCAATTAAACAATAATCAATCCATGTGCTGTGTTTTTTACACCATTTTGTGGCACATTCAGGGATTGTTTACCCCTCCAAAGGGTACATTCGTTTGCAGAGATAGTTCGAGGCATCTTTGGCTCTCGAAGGAATTTAGATTTATCTTCAGGGATGTATGGGAAGGCTCCCTTTTGCTCTAATATTTCTCTCTCTCTCTCCCTGTTCTTTCACTGGTGTATTTAATTTATTTTTATTTTTTTTGTTTGCTAAACGGTCAAACGGGTTGAACGGAAAAACCATATGTGCCATTGGGGTTTATTTGTTCTGTGACGGCCTGAGAATTGTCCGCATGTTTTGCTGTGATTTTTTGTCGTTCTATAACCCCTTCCCTTGTACGCCCATGGCCAGGGTGAAGTGCAGTGGCAGGGGGAGGCAATATACATATACTTTGATTAAGTGCGTGGCTCCAAACGACATTCGCCGGCGGGAGATTGACTCATTTGCCCATTTTTGATGGAATGTCGCCAACTAAAATGCTTTGCCGCCTTTCCGGGCCCACTCAAGGCTGCCTACGTCCGCGCCCTTCCTCCACGGTGTCCGCCCAATGGCCTCGTTTTGGGCCAAGTTTATCGCGTTGTTTGCCTTCTGCTTTGTTTGCCTTTGCCGCTTTGTCAACACTCGGGCAAAACGCAAAGAAAGGAAGCGGCGCGGTGGCAAAGGGGGGTCGGCAGTGGGGGCGTGGAGCGAAAAAGTAAACGAAAAGGGTTGTAAAAACGTAATGGGGAGTTAAATAAAACAGCGAACATGCTGTGTGGGAAAGGGGGACAGGAGGCGCACACAAAAATATGCAAACACTCGCACAACACACATACGAAAGCACTCGAAGGAACCGTCGAGACTATGGAGTACCCATGGATTAAGTGAGGAAAAAAACTTGAGGGAGGTTTAATTAATTAAACCTTGCATCATCAAATGCAAGGAATCCATCATCAGGGCTCATAATCTTTATATTCCGAATATTTTATAGAACTGCTACAACTTCATCATCAAGTATCATCCAGCATCAAGATCTTATTTTTAATGCAAGTCGACCGAGGGGATGCTACTGCATGACGCGAAGTGGAGTTTTGTTTTTAAATCTGTATAGTTCTGCACTAAATCGTTCAATAATTTGATTAAGATCTCATCTTGTCTTATGAAATATCTTCCCGTGCGGAATAACACTGAAATATTCTCCAAAACACAGATGCAAAATTCAACTCTGCGTTGCAAGCCACCACAAAGAACACAGCATACCCTTGCCATCCATCGAACACCAAGGGGTACAAAAAAAGAAATGTGCAAAAATATATATTCAAAAAGTGTCATAAATGTAATACAACTTTTCCTTTATGACAACTGCATATGTGTGTTTGTTTGTGTATGTGTGTGTGTGTCCTGTGTTCGTGTATCGGTGTTTGTGTTGGCGCGTTGTTCAAGTGCCGCTTGAACAGAAACTTCTCTTCTCAGTCGCTGTCGCTGTCGTTGTAGTCGTTGTTGGCCTGGCCAATAAAAATAAAAATAAAAATAGAGTTCAAATAAAACTAAAAAGAGCCAAAGCCGTAGAATAGAGCGAACCAAATACCAAAACTTTATCCGCCTCACAAAAATATGTCTATCTATATCGTATTTGTATCTCACAAATACAAAAGTATCTTTGTGTATTTGAATTGAGCTCTGGGATAATGCGTTTTTCCAGATATGTATTTTCTAGGAGGCAATCCACCGGCAGTCCTCTAAAAGGGTCAGGGGTGGGTCAACCCTAATCCTAAGGTAAGGCCATAAAATGAATTAGAAAATTTGTATTTATGCATAAAGATGGTTTTGTTGTTGTTTTACCAATAGAAAAAGGAGGCGGGCTTGTTTTTGCATATATTGTATTTTCGAACGAACCGAAGCCACCGACCAAAATGAATTTATTTCCCCCACTGGCCCCACTCCTGGTCATGGTCAAAAACCCCGCACCGACCCACAAAACAAAACAAAACCAGGTTCTCCGATTAGTTAATTTTGGGTGACAAAAACAGTGCGTTTTGAAACTGTACGAAGCGTGAGGATGTATATTTTGGCAGAAATCAAATTCCGCATTTCAATTAAATTAGTTCTCAATCGATAACTTATTCAGGTATTTATCGAAGTAAAGATATCAAATAGTTTTAGTTCTTGCATGTAAGATTGGAACCTCCTTTAGAGGTCTATCAATAAATGACATGAAAAATCGATTAAATTCTGCTATAAAACATCCCTTAGAAGGGTACTCCAAGATACAATCTGATGCTCGTTTGTTCTATCCTTATGATTATGGGGCACACTGTCTGCCACTGCTTTTCTTTGATGTTACGTTAGGTTACGTTCCATCTGCTCCTCCGTCTGTGTGTGTTGTATATGTGTGGCGGTCTCTGGTAAGTGCTCTTTGGTAGTCCACTCCTTTGAAAGGTTGAAAGCAGTGCCAGGCTGCAACAAACCCAAATTGCAATACACACAGACACACACAGCCATATGTATGAAATCGCACACACACACACACACACACTAACTCAGAGCCATATGCACTCCCCCGCACACACACATGGCAAACATTGGGCAAATATTCTGCCAAAAGTTGTTACAAAAATTTAAAAATAAATTTAAAATTTTTTTGTTGCTCTTATCGAATTGCAGCAGCTGATGGTGGGTGGATGCCACAAGAGGGGTAGTGTGGCACGTGGGATGGTGTGGTAACAGGCGCCTCTTGGCATGCAGATTGCCACAGCCGATGGCGATGCGTCCACTGACTGCCTATGGCCACAAAACGAAGCCAAAAAAAAAAAGGAAAAGAAAGAAAATGGAGAGACATGAAAAGACTTTTTGGCCAAGAGAATCGACCCAGTTGATACCCTAGAATCACATTTGGATACCGTTTGGAATTTTTTTTTTATTTGGCACATCTTTCTGACTGTCTCTCTGGCTGTCTCTTTGTCTCTGGCTCTCTGTGGCTGCAAGTGAAACTCGATGACAATCTACCCGAACATCGAATGCTGGCTCACAAATAAGTTTGTTCCCCTTCGATCGTCGTTTTGGCTGAAGGAATTCAAGCAGGCTCGATCACACTCAAAGCAGTTACACCTTGCAGTTCTCGCTGCCAACAGCATTCTGTAGACCTCATAAGACCACCCAACCCCGGAAACAGGAAACTGGAGAATGCTACCCGCTACTGCAACTTCCTCGCCCACCAAACTGCTTCTTGCATCATTCATACCCACACTCTCACATGTGGCCTCATACCTGAAGAGGAAAAGAGAGCGAAAGACAACGGAAAAAGAATTGAAACTGCAGTGAAAATAAATTTAAAAAACAAAAAAAAAAAAACAGGGAAAAACGAAAAGGAAACTGGAAATGAAAGCAAAAATGGAGCAAGAGGAAAGCCGTAGCGTAGCGTATGCAAGGCATTTGTGCGCGCCCCTCCCCCCAAAAAGTTGTACCCCCTCTTGTCCAGCGCCACTGCGGAGCTGTGGAAGATTGCTTAAAATTTTATTGGTTGTTGTTTGCAAAGCAAAAACTTTACTTTTGCGCGCTTTTCTAACAGTCCAAACACCCACACACACACCACACCCACACTGGGAAAGTGGGGGGCACGGCACGGATGTGAGTGCGGCAAAAGTTGCCGAATGGAAAATGAATCCAACAGAGGGAGGGGGGCGCTTACCCGCGATTCCTTTTGCTTTCTTTTACTTGTTTTTTTTTATACTCTTTGTCTTGTTCCTTCTACTGCTTTCTTGTTCCTCCCCCCCTTCCACACATCCACCTACTTCTACTTTTTTTTGGAAACTGAAACTGCCGTTAGTCAAGAGAAGCACCGCTATTCCCATTTCCATTGGCATTCCCCAATCCGCACACATCCGGAAGTCGTCGAAGCTGTAGAAGTCGATGCGATGCCCCGAATGGGCCTTCGAATGGCAGTTCCGAGTGCTAGTGGCAGTTCCAAATGGGAATGGGAGTGGGTGTGGGGTGGCAGTGGCAGTGGTGCCCCCCACTTGGAGTCAAAGTTGAAGTTAAAGTTGAGGTCATCTCGAGAAGCAGGAAGCAGCCAGGGAACCGAACCCAGTGACGTCGCTTCAATGCGTGTAATTTTCATAAACAAAATGGTGAAACATCCCACTGTAACACTGTCTAATGGTCGTCCTTGTGGTGTGGTCCTTGTGACCATTCCCATCATCATCAACATCATCATCGTGTGCTTCCCCTCCCCCTGCCACGGTCATTTCAAGTGCAAAAGTACACCAAAAGTTTTTGGTCGCGTTCTCTCCATCCTCCTCCTTGAAATGCAGATGAAAACAGGACTTGTAACGGAGAAAGAATAATATTGTGAGAGAAAAAATATATATGTAGCGATAAAGCGAGAGAGAGAGGAGGGGAATTTTTTCCGCGGAGTGATGGAATATTTTAAAGCCTAAATTAAATGCCGTCAAAGACTCGTGAACCGTTCAACCTTGCTGCATATAACAATTTAAAGGTATGAGCGCTACTTGCCTCCCTATTTATATTTTCTCTGGTTTGTCTTTCTCATATGAAGACAGTATCTTATTTCCCTTGTACCTTTTTCTTTATTATTTTTAACTCTTTTTATTTGATTTAATTTGCATTGTAACATTTTTTTTTAGCACGGCTCTCGCTCCCAAAACAATTGTGATAATTATCCTCTGTTTTCTGTGTGTATCGTGTTAGGTTTTCCGTGTTCCTTTATGTTTTGTCTAGGATTTCAAAGGGTGAACTAATGTGAGAAGAGCAGTAAAGCGAAGTCCCACCTTCAGTGCACCATCAGCTGCTCGGGCTTGCAGATGTCCGTCTTAATCAGCCATTGGAAAATGTTCTCGCGCTGATCCCCCTTCAGCTGTATGAGCTGCCCCTGCTCAGGATGATCGGTGACAGCGCCGTTGCACGAGAACTCCTTCCTACACACACGCACAATCTTCTTGAGGTCGAACACCTCGGGCAGGCCCTGAACGGTGGTGATCATCTTGCGGCTACTGCGCTGCTGCAGGCGAATGTGCACCAGAACCTCCTCTTGAGCGTCGTTGCCCCCAGCAGCAGCTGCATCTGCCCCAGTAGGTGGCTCTTGGGTGGTATTTAAATTTTGAATAGACGACATTTTGTTTGTAAGAATTCACTGTTTTGTAGAGGATATGTCTGTTTGTCGTTGTTGATAGTTTGAAGTGTGGAAAGCCGGTGGAGTATATGTTTATCTGGGGGACTGACAGACCTAGAAGGGCCTTCCTGGAATATTCCTTAGACTGAGCCTGGTTGACAGTAGTTCTTCTCACATTCATCAATCAGCTGCCGGTAGTACTCAATCATCATCGAACATCATCACAGAGCCGACCACCACCCGTTGATTATCCTTTTCATTACAGTGCGCCTCAGACCACGCCTACCCCCTTTGGAGGCACACACCCCACACATACGCACTCCGCTCTAGCGCCCATGGAAATGGCACTTAATGGCCGCCGCCGCCGCTGCTGCCACAAACACAAAACAGTGGGAAAGGAAAACTTTGTGCAAACTTTGCCAGAGCAAAAGGAAAGTCTATGTGTGTGTGTGTATGTGTGTGTGGAGGAATGTCATTGGCGGAAATTGAAACGCACATGACAATCCATTTCATCAGCAGTTTAGTTGCTTTTGGAACATTTTCGGGGAGACAGAGGACCTGCTGCTGCTGTTGCTGCTTGCTGCTAGGAGTAATCGATGCCTTGTGCATGTCCTTTGTATGTTGCCCTGCCTGTGTGGCTGCCCCATGGGCCATGTGATGTGATGTGATGTGAGTGGCAGCCACTAAGCCAAATCAACAAAAATCAACATTTCAACAACAAAGTCCTTGACTGTTAAAGTTAACCGGACAGCAGGACACGCAGCAAAGGAGGAGCCAAATGCCATAACACAGCATAATAGAAAGCAAAAAAAAATACTGTGTGTGTGTCTGTCTGTCTGTCTATGCCAGGCATCATCATCTTGGGGCTATAAGCCCCATGTCCATGCGTCTGTCTGCAAGGGCCACCCAGACAGAGACAGAGGCAGAGGCTGAGGCAGTCGCAGTGGGGACGCGCACGGACAGAGTGTGTATAATCAATGTCAGTCAATATTTTTCCAAATAGAGGACAAAAGACAGAAAGGAACAGAAAGCGGCGACAGCCAGCAGCTGAATGGAACCCCAAATGGAATTGAATTGAAAAGAAATGAAAACGAGAATCGAATCCAAAGAATCCATGAATCCGAGAATCCGAGAGACGACGAAAACATAACAAAAACTAAATTACATATGCATACAAAAATCAATATCAATGTGTTGGTGTATCTCTATCTCTATGTGTGTGTGTGCGTGTGTGTGTCGTTATGGTAAATGACAACAACGAAACAACGAATGGCCTACAACAATGGCAGCCTACAACATTTTCTGATTAGTTTGCGAAAAGAGGAAGGCAATAGCAGTCGTCACAGAAATCGCTGACAACTGACAGAAAATCTCAATGCGAAAGGAAAGGCCAAAGGTCACATTTCATTTTGAATAGTTAATCAATGGTCTCTTCCCCCCAAAAACTGCCACTAATTAGCAATCAAATTTCAATTGCAAGCCTAAATAATTCAATCGAAAATCGAAAGCCACAAAAGGAATTTAAATGCAGTGAATGCAGCAGCAAAAGCAGCCCAATGGAGGATATATTTTTGAGGGGAAATCAGACAGGAAAGCCAGAGAAAGTCGGCAGGGTAGGGTAGTTGGGCTGCAGAAGCATTCGAAGAGGCTTTCCTGAGAAGAAATAAATGGAGTAGTCCAAAAGGAATTAAGGCCTATAGCTCTTACTTCTACAAGTCCCAGTCTGCCCTCTAAAGTAAAGGCTCTCCAGGGCCCAGCTTCATTATTAGCCGACACGACAATCGAAAATCAAAGCCAAATACTAGCCGATGGGAGAATCTCCAAACAGAAACCAATTATGAGCACCAACTTACATGCACTGCCATTTTCCTCGTTAAAGTAATTTATACGCTGGCGCTTTGTCAGCAGTGGGTCTTTCTTCATTTCTGCTGCTGCTCCTGCTGCTCCACCATTCCTTAGCGAATTAGCTCCCAAATTGCATAAAAGTTCATTCTCATCTTCATCTAGAAAGTGGCACCCCGGTGGTCGGGGTCGGGGTCGGTGTCGGGGTCGGTGTCGGGGTCGGGAGTGCAGTCCCTGGGTGCCGCGACCACAAGCCATTCCGCTTATTAGCCTCATTTGTGGACCGCATGTCCATGAGAGCAGAACAGGACACAAGGCAGAGGGACGCGCTGAAGGACTTGTAGAAGGCGTAGTACTGGATTTAAAATTTGTTTTTAATTTTCCACATTATTCTACATTCTGGATAGACTTTTTTCCGCACGCATTACCGGCTGCTTTGGCACCTTTTTTTTTGCTCTCCTTAACCCTTGTGTGTCCCTTTTTTGTGTGTTTGTTGGCTTTTAGTTGTTGCCCCCTTTGTCACTGCTTAGCCTGCCTCATGCCCCATGACCCACACGCTCCTTGCGGCGGCAGTTTCGTCTCTCGCATATTAATGAGCTTTCGTCTTTAACACGCTCTTGAATTAGTTGCGAAACGCGATTCGCTGTCGTCTTTGCTTTCCACCTTTTCCGCGCAACTTCCACGATGTTCCCCCCCACCGCGAAGCAATAAGCAAAGGGAGGTGGGTTCAAGGCGGAAAAACTTTCCTTCCTTAGTGCTACCCGCAGACACTTCTGCGGTTCCATTCCTCGACTCCTACTTTTGCACCTTTTTCTCCTGGCATTTTAATTTGCGTTGCCTTTTACTTCCCTCTCTCCCCGATGTCTTTCTATCTGTTTCTCTTTAGTTGGCTGCTTTCCCTTTTTTCGTGGTGTGTACTCTTTCAGCGGAAGGTCTCATAATTTTTAAGTGGAAGTTTAGTTTTCTAAGACAGACACCTGTCGTCTGTGGCTCTGGCTTTTGATCGGCGCTTAGGCGCTGTTTAGTTCTTGAACGTATTGTTATGACAGGCAGCTTTTTTCTATACACATTTTCAAAAGATGATGGCAGGATATGGCTGGAAATGCAGTGGAAAAATATCAGAAAAAATACAAAAGATCCAAGAACATAATAACAATAAAAAATGGTAGGACCTATTTGAAAAGTCAAGAATTTTTCTTCCTTCCCCTACCGAGGGGATCAGCTGAATGACGCGCGTATAGCCTATCCATTTATCTAATGGAGGAAGGAAGAATCCTTTCGTTCTAAGAGCATTCCCCACTTCGACTTGGAAACCCATTTTCATTGCTGTTTTTTCGGTCCCGCATCTTGGACAAACTCCTGAATGTTGACTTGGTTTTGGTTTTGGGACAACTCATGAGGGGGCTTTTGGCTTCTGGTTTCTGCTGCTCCCTCCTCCTGCTTCTGTTTCCTCTTTTTCTTCGGCTGTTGCTCATTTTGCGCTTAATTTCCGTTTTAATTTCGTTCGTTTTATTCAAAACCTTTTCGCTGTCGCTTCAACATCTTTCTTTGACTGCCACCGTCTCTCTCCATCTCCATCTTTCCGCCGTTTCTTTCGGGCAGCGAGAAGACGCGAGTCTCATAGCAATTAGGTCCTGTCTAAGGTCCTGCCGAGGACAGCTGCGGCAGCAGGTTGTTATCCTTCTTTGTGCTGTTTGCCTTTGACTTTGAGGCCGCTGAGTTTTTCCTCTGTTTTGCCTCTAGTTTTCCTTAGCTGCTGGTCAGCTGCTGACGTAGGCACAATCATGCCGCAAAAATACACAAACACACAAAATCCCATCCACCCATACAGTCACGTCTCTGTCTGCCTATCTATATGTGTGTGTTTGCGTAAAAATTTCATACGCCAGCAGAAAATTCATTCGCGCGTGGTGCCTATATCCTTTTCACAGGAGTATCTATCCCTTCGACAGGCATTTGATATATGTGTGTACATATCTTCCATCTATATGTACGAATCTATATGTGTGTTAAGCGTATCTGTGTGTGCGTGTGTTTGCGTGTGTGATTTGTATGATTTATAAATGAGAGTTGATGCATTACCATATTCCCCCGCACTCTCTATCACTCTCTGTCGCCCACTCTACAGCTCTGCTCTGCTGCTGCTCATAAATTTTTCAACGAAATTTGTCACCCACACAGCCACGCCCCCATTCACCCATCCGCCCATTGTTTGGTGGGGTTTGACCACAACAAGGAATCGATTTGAATAATTTGAGTGGCGGCTAATCTTCTGCCACAAAGCAAACAAAAAGCGAATGACAAAACTACAAGCACAATGAATACATTCATTATAATTAGTTTTTGATACTCGTACACATTTGAATCAAAGTGAATCGTCGATTGAATTTGGTTTCGATTTTGAAAGGGTTTTATACCCACTTTCGCTATCGAATTGCAGATTCTACTCGACTTCATTCAAGAAACTTCAATTTTTCAAGTGTACATAAGTATCCATTAGTATTATTAAACTGTTTCGTTAAAGATATGGTTTTGTTTTGTCTCATCTACAATTGTGATATTAGATGAATATGTATGAAACAAAACCACTATTATTACCGTACTCGGTTAAGGGGTTATTGTAACCGACCCCACAATGTATATGTTATTTATATTTATATACTGATATATACTGGTATGTGGCGTCAAAGAAGACTCACTCCTCATTGTATGTATACACATTATTTAGATGTAATTCTGTCAGTCTTCAAATGGTATTTAAAAACAACACAAAAAAGGAGACGAAATATTGGGTTTTCCATCGGTTTTTTATTGATTCAAATGGCTTGGCTATTGGACTACTCTTGGGGATCTTGCCATCGTGTTTAGTCCTCACAATAATTGACTGAAGACAAGCGGCTTCGCAGACGACGAGTGCTTGGTGGTGTTGGCTCGATGAAGCGCTTGCTTCGATTACGCGTATTCATCGAAACCTGTGTATTTGTCACAATCTTTAAATCGTCCAATGTGATGGTTGTGCGATCGGCACTTTTTGCAATGGCCTGGGCCTCACGGAGTTTATTTCTTGCCTCATCTGCAACAGGGTTGTGCTAGATCTAGATCGGTTTCTATCGCTTTCACTAACGGATCACTTACCGACTGGCATAGCAAAAAGAGAGCTGGTCAGCTCGTGGTTTGGCCACATCTCCTTCCAATCCAAAACTCCGTCGCATAGTGTACAAATCCGGCTGTAATAATCTTCA